ACCTTGTTGTCTCGGATTCTCCAGCATCTGCAGTTCCTACTATCTCTCACTAAATTTATGTATGTCCCTTTTGTAACATCCTGTTTTACGCAACTTATAGCCAAGTTTGCTGTTGACAGCATAAATTTCTTCTTCTGGCAAGTCATTGATTTATTTCTGGTAAAAATTTGAGGCCTTGGGGCAGATGCCTGGGTAGCAACACCTGCCATCTTTTACTGGACTCCAGTTTGTGGCTGAGTAAATGCACTATGTAGATTTGGAATTATCTAGCTAAACAAGCTAGAAAGTTCAGTTCATCCAGTGCTGGCCTAAGCCATATAAGTAATGAATTTACGGTTGGATTTTGGGCCCTTTTGTTCAAGAGTGCTGAATTTAAGAGAATTATCAATGACCCTTGGGTGAGATATTGAAGGTTTGCCTTGGCTTCATGTCAGCTGGAGTCAGCAACGAGAGGTGTTTGACTCAGTGTCAAGGTTTGTAATCACTGATTTTGTACCTGGTTTGCTCAGTGCCAGATATTTCCTAAATATTTTAAGATTGTCCAAAGACATTACCTTTTTGTGAAAAACCCAACTTAGAAGAATTTAAGTGACCTATACGTGGGTAAATTGTATTTTGTTACAAGAAGCAACTAGATTACAGCATTGAGCCACAGGCACCTTTCTTTTTGTTAAAGCGGTATTGAATTTCTTTCATAGAAATTAATAAAATGAAACTCGTGCCTGTCTTTTACTAGCTGTGATCCTGTATTTTTCTGTCTCTGATCAATTTCATGTACTTTCTTTTTAGTTATTTTGCTGATTATTGTAACACTACTTCGTCGCAAGAAGGTCAGACAAGTGGACTCTGTGCGTGCCCCGTTACTGAGGAAAGAGCCGTTCCCTGGCCAGGAGCCTCACCCACCTTATGGAATTGCCTGGGATAGAGAACCAGTGTACGCAGGATGGTAACAGCGGCCTTGTGATTCTTTTGGTGTGTGGAATAGGCTCATAACTAGTACACGATGTAGAATTGCCTCTCCTCTTTGAAAAGAGGAATTGGTGCCCCTCCAGATATGCTGCATCTCTCCTGGGATTCAGTCTTGTGGAACTGCACTTTCCTCTGATTCATCGCAAATCTTTGCATTCTGGATCACGAGCAACTTGCTTTGTTGTTCGTTGCCCATCAACGCCTGCCTCGTTCTCCTCAAGAGGAATAATTGTTTCTGTCAAGGTCTATTTTACTGGTGAATAAGTACTTCCAATGCGATCTGACAACTGGACTGTTTTGTTGCATCCTTCTCATTGTGACAGTGCCATCCAGAAGATTAGATGAAACACAATGGCATTAAATGGAGTTGAACCCCTGGTGCCAGTTCTGTGGAAAACAAACTTTCTGAAAGTTAATAGCTCATCCCTTGTGTCAGCAGGTTGTTTCCAAGTCTCACATTCGTCTTATTTGCTGAAGAGATTACATCCAGAACTGTATAAAATTCACTTGTTCTTGAACTTTAAACTTTGGAGATAAAAATAGTGAATGAATAGTGAATTGTGTTAACAATTGTAATTTGCACTAATTTTTCACAAATGCATGTGTTTTACCTAATAGAAATTTCTGTTTGAACAGAAACCATTTACTGACAAACTATTACATGCACCTTAACTATTTTTCAAGCAGTACCTGTTCAAAAATATTGTGGTTTTTATTTTGGAAGGTGGAATGAATGCTACTTATTTAGCTTCCAACTTTAGTACAGTGCATTCTGGCAGTTCTTCTGAAATAGTAACTGAATCAAATATAGAGCTGTGCTGCATGTTACTAATGGATTGTGGTACAAAAGTGAAAATGTGGAAGATTGTAACACACTTTGTTTTTGGAGCCATTGCTGTCCAAATTGCCTTTTTTCCCCAGGTAAACTGGATTTTAAATTTTCTCTTGTGAAATGTTTTATGTGAAATATTGTTAATGTGGAATGATTAAATTAATTTGTAGATTAAGATTGTGGCTAATGTATTTCTAAAAGCTGTTGTAATAACTTGTATAGATGAGTGAAATTGACCCATGTCCATTTAACATTTAGAAAGGTCCTGGAAGTTCAAGTGTGGAAGGGCGTAGTCAACAGTAAACATAACGATTCTTTTGTCATTGTTGACGTGAAGTGCCTGGGTTACCTTCATTTCACCTTTTTAGTCAATGTCCACTTATTTTGTGCAAAGTTCGGTTTGCAGACAAATGGATTTTTTTTTTTAATAAATGGCACTGCAGTCAAATATAATGTGGAGTGAGTTGGACATTCAGGCTGGTATTTGATATTGTACCGTTCTTGAATGTGAGAAACTATAGATACACTACCAGAATTGGGTGCCGTATAACTTTGACTTGTCAGTAATTTGGCAGGCACCAAAAGGACTTCACTGGCAAAACTAGGTGAGCCAACTTTCTTATTTTAAAGAGAATCTTTCCTCTTGCCCCACCCCAATCTTATTGCACCTAAACAACTCTTCAAATCTCATGTTATAAAATTTGTTCTTCCTGATTTGTCAACACAAAACACTGAAATCAATGCGTTATTTGTATTGTTGATCTGATAAGACAATGGAAATTTTATGGTTTGGAATCTGTATGTTTTGAGAGGAGAGATTTGAGTTTGATATAATGTAAACTAACAGTATGAGGGTGAAATTAACCAGTAAACATTCTGGTGTTTCTGGGTGTTTGCATGTTTTGGCTAAACTTGCACAATCAAATTCTCAATGCCTCAAGTACATTCACTGTTAAACACTTTTAAATGAAGCGATTGAAATAAGGAAACAATGGTTCTCCTAACTCTGATTTTTAAATAAGTACAGTCTCTAAATGCTGACTCTCCACTAAAGTGTACCTTCAATCCTGTGGTAAAGTGCTCGTTGATTTGAAATGCAATGACTTTTTAAAAATAAATGCTGTGCAAATGAATACCAAAATTAAAAGGACTTAAATAATATTCATAGCTGTTCCGAGGTGTACGAGTGTGGTTTGTGTGTGCGTGATGTACTTTGAGCCATAATCAAGTCCCCTCCATTGAGTTTGATGCACTGATACAATTGGGGTCCTAAAGCCTGCCATAAATCTCAATGTGGACATTAAATGGGGGTTCTAAGCCCACATTTTGGCTCCAATTGAACTCTCCAAGTATCTTGTTAGGAACAGCCTTCTAACAGATCGCCAACACACTTATCTTTATGACCAGACCCTAAGCAAGGTTCCCTAATGCATCACTGTTCCAGCTGGGATTCCCATGCTGTTAAGCACCCGGGTGAGGAGAGATGAACGGATTTTTTCCCCTTCTTTATTCACTTTCTCCCCTTGGCTGATTGCAACAAGATTTAGTTTTTTTTTGTTTTTTTTTTTTTTTTTTTGAAAAAAATCCCTTTCCTTGTGGATAGCTTCCTTGCAGACACAAATGCAACTGTTTTAAAAGGAGCCAATTTAGCTCTGATTTCTTGAATTAATTGATGAGTGAGTTTGTTAATGAATATACACGGCTGTCTGGGTGTCTCCTTGACAGTGGAATGTCCACCTGATTCTGACCAATGGTTATGAAACCTGACTGGGTTGGAAGATTCCAACATGGCTGCCAGCTCTGAAGCCTTGGAGCTACCACCAGGCCATGAGGGTATTGTTGAGGCAGATTTGGATATGGTGAAGATGCTGATAATCAACGGTGTGCCAAACTTAATTATTGGGCCACTTTGGAGAAGGGGTGAATCATTTGGGCTGTAGGTGTGGCCACCTCTTCGGAGGAGTAACATGCCCCCCAGCTGCAGGTAGTCTACATACTGTGGATCCATGTTGTTGTTGGGGAGGGAGTTTCATGCTTTTGACCCAGCAACACAGAAGAAATGACATATTTCAATGATATGATATTAACAATTTCCACTGTGAGTGGCTTTGAGAATTTTCAAGAGTGATGTTCTCACTCATCTGGCCTCGAACTTCTAGATGGTAGTGGTTGCAGGTTTGGAACATGCTGTTGGACTTGGTGAGCTATAGAGTCATAGATTAATGCAGCATAGAAACAGACCCTTTGGCCCAAACTGGTCCATACTGACCATGGTGCCCACTCAGCTAGTTCTAATTGCCTGCACTTTGGCCAATATCCTTCTAAACCCTTCCCATCCATGTACCTATCAAAATGTTATTTATTTAAATATTGCTATTGTACTTGCCTTAACCACTTTTTTTATCTGGCAGCCCATTCCATATATACATCACTCTGCATGAAGAAGTTGCCCCTCAGGTCCTTCTTAAATCTAACCCCTCTTACCTTAAACCTATGCTGTCTAGTTTTCAACTCTCCATCCCCGAGGGGGGAAAAAAGACTATATGCATTCATTCTATCTATGCCCCTCATGATTTTATACACCTCAGTCAGGTCACCGCAACCGCAACCCCCCCTTCATTATCTTGCATTCCATGGAATAAAGTCCTATGGTGGCCAACCTCTCCCTATAACTCAGGCCTACTAGTCCTGGCACCATCCTCAAATCTTCTTTGCACACTTTCCAGTTTAACTATGTCTTTCCTATAATAGGGTGACCAAAACTGTACACAAACTCCCAAATGTGGCCTCACCACAACTTCTATAACTGTAACATAACGTCCCAACTATTGTACTCGATGCTTCAACCACTGAAGACCAGCATGCTAAATGCCTTCTTCACCACCCTCTCCACCTGTGATGCTGCTTTCAACAAACTGTCTCAGAGGATGGCTGACAGTCATCGCAGCAGAATTCTGGGAGACCTGTACAGCAGCTCAGAGAGAACATGGTGTCAAGGTGTGGACCCTCTGTTCCACAACACTCCTCAGGACCTTACCATTTACTGTACAAGTCCTAACATTTGTTTGACTTTGCAAAGTTCAACACCTCTCACACTTATCTGTACTGAATTGCATTTGCCAATCCTCAGCCCACTTCCCCATCCGATCAAGATCCCTCTAATTTTTAATAACCTTCTTGCTACCAATGGTATCTCCTAATTTTGCATCATCCGCAAACTTACTAATCATGCCTTGTACATTCACATCCAGATCATTGATATAAATGACAAAGGTCCCAGTACCAACCCCCTGTGGCACTCCACCAGTCACAGGGCTCCAGTCCGAGAGAAAACCTTCAACCGTCAACCAAGTGCATTGTGTAGCTAGTACACGCTGCTCCCACTGTGCATTAGTGGTGAATGGGAATGAATATTGAGGGTAATAGATGGGATGCTAATCGATTACTATGTCCTGCTCTTGTACCCAGCATATTTATATGGCTGGTCCAATTCAGTTTCTGGTTACTCATAACCCTGCTGGATGAGGCGGTGATGGCCTATAGGTATTATTGCTGGACTGTTAATCCAGAGACCCAGACAATGTTCTGGGGACCTGGGTTCGAATCCTGCTATGGCATATGGTGGAATTTGAATTCAATAAATATCTGGAATTAAGAATCTAATGGTGACCATGAATCCATTGTCTATTGTTGTTAAAAACCCATCTGGTTCACTAATGTCCTTGTTAGGGAAGGAAACTGCTATCCTTACCTGGTCTGGCCTATGTGACTCCAGACCCACAGCAATGTGGTTGACTCCTAACTGCCCGATTGACCAAGCAGCATTTATTGCCCATGACGCCCTCATCCTATTAATGAATAAAAAAAATGTTGAAACTGGGGGTTTCAGCTACGGTAATGCCATTAAATGTTAAGGGGTAAAGTTTTAATTATTTCATGAAAATGAATGTTGCCTGGCACTTGGGTGGCATGAATGTTACTAATTAATTGTCAACCCAAGCCTGAACAGTGTCCAGGTCTTGATGCATTTGGATACGTTCTGCTATGGTATCTGAAGAGTCACCAAAGATGCTGAACGTTGCCAGTGCCATTCCCAATTTATAATGGTGCAGACTGAGGCCATTCGGTGCTTCATGCTTGGTCTGTTCTAAGCATTTCAACTAGATGCCAATCTCTTGCCTTACTTCCACCCAAAATAACCTTGCACAATATTACTTTATCTACCCAACGTCTCCAATTCTGATCTGATGATGGGTGGGAAAGTCATTATTGAAGATGGCTGGGGAAGGCTACTACCCTGAGGAACTTGGGCTCTTTTGGCATAATGGTAGTGTCTCTACCTCCTGAGCAAAGGGGTGAGGTTAAAGTCCCACCTCCTCCAGAGGTGTCTGAACAATTCACAGTAGGTTGTTTTAAAAAAAATATCTGCCCTGGGGTATTCTTGCACAGTTATTCTGTAGCTGAGACCTTTCTTTTTTGTAATAACCACAACCATTTTTTAAATACACAGTATGGCTACAGCCAGTAGAGAGCTTTCCTTCAATTCCCACGAACTCCAGTTTTTTTGCTAGGACTTTGTAAAAGATAGTTGTCCTTGCATCCCCTTTGAAGTTCAGCTGTCTTGTCCAAGGCTGTAATTAGGCCTAAAGCTGAGTGATTTATTGATTCGGAATAGACTCCAGTGTGGCAATTGACTGAAACAAGCGCAGAAATTGCTGGGAAAGATCAACAGGTCTGACAGCATCTATGAAGAGAAATCAGAGTTAACGTCTTCGGTCCAGTGGCCGTTCCGCAGAACTGAGGAACTCCGAACCAGTTAACTCCGATTCCTCTTCAGAGATGCTGTCAGACCTGTTGAGCTTTTCAATAATTTCTGTGTTTGTTTCCGAATTAAAAACTAAAAGAACGGAGGATGCTTTATTTGGTAATTGACTGGGTTGGAAGCTTTTTGTGGGCAGGAAATAGTTGGGGACTTTTTCTCATTAGCCACTGCCAGATCCTCAAAGAACAATTACTTTTTCTGATTTACTTTCCATAAATTTTAGACATCCTGGTTTGCTCTGTTCCTTTTTATTAAATCTGTTTTTCAGGTTGACCTTTGAAGTTAGAACTCCCCAGATGTTGACTTTGTCTTTTCATGTTGCTCTACTTCAATATCTACCTGGTGAATATCATTTTAAAGACCTATAAAAATAACTTCTGTAACCTTCTAGGAACTGTTTGGATGTCAGTGGTTTAGTGGCTTGGACAAAGCTACAGATACCTTCTGGTGTGTATTGGGTTACCAGTCCAGGCTTTAGGCTTGCTTTAGCTGAGATGGGTGGATATTGCTTTTGATGTCTACCAGCTGGAACTCCTGGTCTTCATTCTTCCCATCACATTAAGTTTTCACCTTCATTATCCTCTAGGGAATGAGTATCATTTCAAGATGCCTCCTCATCGCTTTTTGATGGCTTCATTTTTGGGTCATCATCTTGAATCACCACTCCACGCAGATTTGTGAAGCTGATGATGTTGTACAAAGCACTTGATCTATTTGACCTTTCATATTCACTGAACGTTCTCCTCTCAGTCAAAAACCATTTATCACTTTGCAACTTGACAATACCAACTTGATGTTTTGTGTAGAGTGATTTGTCAGAATCATTTTCGATTATCTCTCCAGCAGCCATCTTCCAGAATGGATTTATTTCTTTCCAGCTAAATATATGTTCAGTGATTTTGGCTTCTTGAAGTTAGTTTTCCCTCCTGGCCATCTTTTCATTTCTCTTACATAGTGGTCTTATGATATTTATATCTTGCCCTTGATCTTTTCTACTGATTCTTCTGGAAACAATTCTTCCTTTTTGTCCAATGTTAGTTTTATTTGGCCTGGAATGCCTCTCAACATAATACAAAGTCTCATCTGTTGTTCATTACTATGCTGTAGCTGAGGGTCCTCTTGTGGTGCAGGGATAGTGTCCCTACTCCTGGACCAGGAGACCCAGTTCAAGTTCCACCTGCTCCAGAGGTGTGTAATAACATCTGAGCAGGTTGATTAGAAAAATAGGTTAAATTAGAAGAAAATACTCTTTTAAAAAAAAACCAAGGTTGTCAGCCATTAGTTAAAGAGTTTCTCTGCTGAGAAGACAAGCTTTCACAGCAGGATTGCTTATCTGTAA